CCTCCTCCTCCTCCCCCTCCTCCTCCTCCTGAAGCAGCGCACGGCGAGGCTGAAGAGCGCGCCTGTGACGACGTACGAATTGATCAAGCTATACAACGGACATACCGTTTCTGTCCTCACGTACTTGGCACGGTTGTTGCCCCTGCCGGAGGCCCTCCTCTGAAGCGAGTTCGACGCGCTGCACCGCATTCTGAAGGCCCGCCGAAGTAGTTCGCGCTTGCCGACTTGATCAGCATGGGCACGCGGGCGCCTGTTTCCGCGCTCGCTGCGCTGCAGCCTGCTGCTTGGGCCGCCGCATGGCGCGCAGCCAACGTTACGCTCGTGGGCCGGAAGGCCTTTGCGGGTGCGTGGCGTGAGCGCGCGCTGGATTGCTTTCTCGTCACATCGGACCTCTGGGCCGCGCCGCTGTGGGAGCAAACGGAGTCCATGCTGCAATGCCTCATGGCCGTCGACACCGCCACCGTCAGGCCTGCAGCGGCGTCGGCGGCAGGCCCTGCAAGCGGCCAACGCGGCAGCCCGCCGCGAGCTGCGCGCGGCCGCGGCCGCTACGCGCATGCCCCGCGTGCAGTGCACGCACGCGGCAGCCGCCGCTCAGACACTCTTCCCGGAGGGCTTCCACGGCACGATCCGGCGACGACTCAATGCCTGGTGGCCCGAATTGGCGATCACGCCAGGCCTCCGCTAGTGGTGGCTACTCCTCTGGGCCCAAGTGGCGATGGCTGCCCAAGGCACCTGCTGTGGCCAACTTCCTACCGCATGCACGTGGGACATCCCCGCCTGCCGTGCCGCTGGTTCTGCGAAGGCGGCGCCGACCAGATCTCGCCTTACCTGAAGTGCCGAGGCGCCTGGTGGTGCGTCTGCGTGGCAACGCGCGCCATCGCCCACGAGTGCCCACTTCATCGCCTCGGCTTGCGCTCGGCGGCCCACTACGGCGCGGAACCGCGCGGAGAGAACGGCTTCCCCGGAACGGCGGCGCGGCTGGCGACGCTGCAACGCACGTGCAACCTGCTGCGCCATCGCCCTGGCCCGCTGCGGCCGTCCCCGCCGGTGGCCGAGGCTCTGGCGCGCGCCGCCTCCCAGCGCGTCCGCGCCGCCTCCGCTCCCAGCGCGGGCAGGGCGCGAGCCGGCACGCACCCGCGGGCTCCAGCCAAGAACCACTCCGCCAGCTGGACCAGGCGGCGACCGCGGCTGGCGCAGCGGCGGCTTCTTCCAAGCAGTCCCAGGGCCTCCCGCGGCCCGGCGCGCCGCCGCTGAGCTCGTACACCATGCGGTGGTACGGGCGCTCCTCCTCCTCCTCCTCCTCCTCCTCCTCCGCCTCCTCCTCCTCCCCGTCGCTACGCGATCAGGCAGAGACTCCAGAGACTCCTCCTCCTCCTCCTCCTCCTCCTCCTCCTCCTCCTCCCTCCCCTCCTCCTCCTCCTCCCTCCTCCTCCTCCTCCTCCTCTCCTCCTCCTCCTCCTCCTCCTCCTCCTCTCCCCGCCTCCTCATACCTCCCGCGGAAATATCCAGGAGTCTCCAGGAATTTCGAGGGACACAGAGAGGCAGGCGCGTATCCCAATGTTTGTTTTTCTTGCCGTTGTGCATGCCAGTAATTGCGATTGGCTTCTGGCCGCGAATGCTGGGGCCTCGACAATGCACCGAGAAGAGGCAAGTGGTTCGTTGATCATCGGCTGTCCGCGTCCTCACTTGTCCTTTCCCCCCTATCGTTACGATGCGCTGGGAATAAGAGAAATCTCGTTGTCGTCGTCATTCTCCTCCGCCCACCTACCGTTTCTCTGACCTTCCTCTTCGTTACCCCGTCCCACCTCCCCCGTCCTCCCTCCTCCCCTTCCCGTCACCCCGCTCATCCATTCTCGCACTTCTGTTCTTCTCCCCCCGTTCGTCTTCTACACCGCCATCCCGTCTGTCTCCTCTATCTCTCGCATCATCCCCTCCACCGCTCGCCATCCACACCATCGCCCTTCAGCCTGCACTCCTGCCACCAACCGCCTCGCTCCTACCCCCCGCTCTCCGCACACTGCCCTGCCTGATCGTGACCTTCCTCGTCGGCACCCCGCGGCACAGGATAATTGAGCAGCGCTCGACACCTTGCCGAATTTTGTCGTACGGATGTCGACGCTGTTGGTTGCGCCACGGGTTGCGCAATCGGCGGCCACAACTGTCACGGCCCACTGTTGGTGCGACCCGTCCATCAATCAGTCAGTCGTTTCGTCAGCAAGTTTGTCACTCGGTTCGTCGGCCAGCGGGGCGACCTGGCGCTTCTGGTGTGCCTCTGTGGGTTGTCGTTCTCGTCGCCACAACAGGACCTGGTCGGGCTCTGGGACCTTCGGAGTGTCTCTCCGCTCGCGGACCCCTGAGGCAGCAGACCTCGTGAAGTCACGTTTAAGTCGGGCCTGTCAAACAATAATTAAAAGATAGTATGAGGGCTATTGTTTAGTATGTTTGGGCATCCCTGGAGTATATTTGAGTATGTTCTATTGTTCGTAGAAAATCCCCCTGTATGGGGGACAGACCCGACCTAAAGTTACTTCGGCGCGTTTCTTTTTCGACGACCTCCCAGCCCTTCTCGCCTGCCGTCCTGTGACGTAGGCTGGGCTGGGCAGAGCTGGGAGGACACGCGCAGGCTGTCTCGCTCCATGCCTTCCTCTCGCCCCCGCGCTCGTCCTCCCTTGCACCAGGCCCTCAACAGGCCTTAACAGGAGCCGAAGACGCCTCAAGAGGCCCCCCGAGGGGCCCCGAAGACGCCTCAGAGGCCACAACACGGCCCCCAAGAGCTTCCAAAACGGCCCACAAGAGGCCTCCCGCGACACCCCGACGAACACCTTGGAGGCTTGTGGCCCACAACTCAGGCTCATTCTTGTTGCTGCTCTCCCCTCTACAAATACACCACAGGAGCAACATTTCTCTCTGTCCCCTGATGCCGTTATGTGTGCCCATCCTATTGTATATGTTTATGTTGACCGCCAGTTTGTCCCGAAGTGGTGACCGATTTGTTGTTTCTATACGCACCGCCGTCGCCACTTCGAAAGTGGTACTCCCGCTGCAGCGCTTGTCATTTCTGGTGATCTCCAGGGAGCTTCTCACTCATCAGCGACACTGGTATTCCCGCTGACGCAAACGCCACATGTGATGGTATCCATGGAGCACCCGTCCAATGGAACGGCGCTCTCGCCGCATCGCTGGTCGTAGGTCTGCTTTAACAAGAGTGGCGCTCCCTTTGCAGCGTGCACTACAGTTCAGAATATCCAGCGAGCTTCCGTCCAACGGAACGACACTCTCACTGCGGCGCTGACGGTACACCTGCATCCGCGTGAGTGTTTTGTGTCATCGAAGAGTGGCTCTTGCGCGCAGTCGTGTGCGTTCTGTGCAGTGGCCACGATGTGATACAGCTGCGTGTTTTGAGACGAAGCCAAGACGAGGATGTCATCGGGTGAGGATACATAGATGATCTCTGAGATCCAGAGGCTCTGGATGATGTATCGGGCGCCGCGGCCTTCTCATAACGTTCCAGAATGTTCGCGTGAGTCGGTTACGCCCAACCGCCCCGCATGCCATCTCAGCTTTTGCTTACCTGTCCTTCCAATGTAGAGGCCTTCCCCGACAGCCGACCTTGCGAACATAGAGGGGCTCAACGCAACAAACTAAAGAGGCGAGGAGGAGGAGGAGGAGGAGGAGGAGGAAGAGGAAGAGGAGCAGGAGGAGGAGGCGGAGGAGGAGGAGGAGGAGAAGGAGAAGGAGGAGCTTGCGAACATAGAGGGGTTCAGCACAATGGAGAGGGCTGGGAGTGTGAGGGGGGTCGGAGGTTAGACACAGCGCGAGCGCACCTGCGGTAGGTTCGAGTCGCGTGGATGCGGCCGCGACCCTGGCGCGGGCATTCGGCGTTGACGACGCCGCCAGCGGGCCAGACTTGGCCGGTGTGGCACGATCTGGCGGTCGAAGAGCCGCCGACCGGTCGAGGTCGGAAGGCCCACGCGGCGTCAGGAGCCAATGCCAGGGCAGTCACGGCACGGCCCTGCCGTAGCCTAGGCCAACACCCCCCGGGGGGCGCGAAGGTGCCCGCGCTTCGCGCAGCACGGCTGGCGTCGGGGAGGCGCCCCTTCCCCGGGTGGCCTCGCGAGGGCGCGGAGCAGGGCGACCCAGAGCTAGCTGCCCAGCTTGCCCCCGCCCCCCTCCCCCTCGCTGCCAGCCGCCCCCCCCCCCTCCCGTCGCAGGCCTCCTCGCGGGGGCGGGCCTGGTCCTGCCGACGCCGTCCGCGCCTCCCTCGGAGCCGGAGGACCCCCGCGGGGGGGGGGGGAAGGGGGAGGTGGGACAGGGAGGGCGGGGGAGACATCGGGAGACGACGAGGGGTAGGAAGAGAACGGGGATGAGGATGAGGAGGAGGAGGACGAGGAGGAGGAGGACAATTTGGGAGGATCGGAGAGGAGGAGGAGGAGGAGGAGGAGGAGGAGGAGGAGGAGGAGGAGGAGGAGGAGGGGAGGAGGAGGAAGAGGAGGAGGAGGAGGAGGAGGAGGAGGAGAGGAGGAGGAGGAGGAGGAGGAGGAGGAGGAGGAGGAGGAGGGAGGAGGAGGAGGAGAGGAGGGAGGAGGAGGAGGGAGGAGGAGGAGGAGGAGGAGGAGGAGGAGGAGGAGGAGGAGGAGGAGGAGGAAAGAGGAGGAGGAGGAGGAGGAGGAGGAGGAGGAGGAGGAGGAGGAGGAGGAGGAGGAGGAGGAGGAGGAGGAGGAGGAGGAGGAGGAGGAGGAGGAGGGAGGAGGAGGAGGAGGAGGAGGAGGAGGAGGAGGAGGAGGAGGAGGAGGAGGAGGAGGAGGAGGACGAGGAGGAGGAGGAGGAGGAGGTGGAGAGGGATGAGGGGGGACTGGGCCGAGCGAAGACCAGTCGCCCAGCCGCCGACCGCCGCCTCGGCTCGCGCGCGGCCTGGTCATTCGGCGCGAGGCCGGGCACGGCATTTGCAGGCGATCGAGGGCGGCTTGCGTGGACCTACTCTGCCAGGGGCATGCCGAAGTCCCCTCTTGGCAGGAGGAGGAGGAGGAGGAGCAGCAGGATACCTTTAGGAGGAAGATGAGGAGGAGACCTGGAGGAGGAAGAAGAAGAGGAGGAGGAGGAGACCTGGAGGAGGAAGAGGAGGAGGAGGAGGAGGAGGAGGAAGAGGAGGAGGAGGAGGAGGAGGAGGAGGACACCTGGACCTCCAACGTCGTGCAGCGGGTGTTTTCTCCCCACTTGTGCCCTCCCTCGATCTCGGCCTCTCGGTGGCATCACACACGCAGATCTGGAGTGGCAGACCGCCCCCGGGGGAAGAGATCGGGGGCGCTGGGCCGCGGACCGAGAGAGTCATCCTCCCAGAGGGAAGGGAAAAGGGGGGGGAAGGGGCAAAAACATCCCCACCCGCAACCATTTCTGCTCTTCCTCCTCCTCCCTTCTCCTCCTCCGCCTCCTCGTCCTCCCTCCTCCTCCTCCTTCTCCTCCTCCTCCTCCTGCTCATCCTCGTTCCTCCTCCCTTCCTCCTCCTACTCCTCCTCCTCCTCATCATCAGCATCAGCATCATCATCATCCTCATCATCATCAGCATCATCATCATTCTCCTACAAAGGGAAAAGGGGGAGAAGGGGCAAACACATCCTCAGCATTCTGCTTCGATCCATCGCCACCCGAGAACGCGTGGCAGCATACTCAGGGATGGCAGGCCGGTCGGGGAGAGGGCCCCGGTGACCAGGACCCGGTTCCATCATCAGGCCAAACCGGGGAGGGGGGGGCAGGGGGAGGAGGAGGAGGAGGAGGACGGGGAGGGGGAGGTGCGAGAGCGGAGTTGTGGCCGGGAGTGCAGCAATTGGACAGTCAGGCGTCGCGGGGCTGCCCGTTTGCTTAAAGGGCGGCAGCGATCGGGTGGGACCGGGGGCATCCTTCGTTGTTTGTTGCTGCCGTGCCGACATTTTCTGCTGCCTTTTCCCGCCCTCCCCCCCCACCCTTCCTTCTGGCTGTCAGCCGAGGTGGAGTATGTGCGAGGTATCGGTCTTCAGGGGCGAACCCAACCGCAGCAACAGCGACGGGAGGAGGGGGAGACGAGGAGAGGGAAGAGGAGGAGAAGGGGAGAGGGGATGAGGAGGATAGGAAGAGGCAAATGGGGCGGATTCCAACCGATTCGCCCGAAAGCCAACCACTCCGGGTCGGAGCCCAGCCAGGTGGAACATATTCCAACTAGGCAGACGCTGCTTGGATGATGCTTGCAGGATGCTTCGAGGGTCCGTTGAGGGTTCCTTGGGTTATTACAGGAAATACTTTTCAATTCCTTGGCGGATCGTTGGGGTCCTTGCAGAACCCGTGGGATGCTAAGGGAGCCATTCGGATCTCTTGGATGACTACTATTATTATTACGATTACTATTCGTATTATTATTATCAGTACTTTCACTACTACTACTACTACTACTACTACTACTACTACTACTACTACTACTACTACTACTACCACCACCACCACCACCACTACTACTACTACTACTACTACTACTACTATTACTACTACTACTACTACTACTACTACTACTACTACTGCTACTACTACTACTAGTACTACTACTTACTACTACTACTACTACTACTACTTACTACTACTACTACTACTAACTACTACTACTACTATACCACTACCACTACTACCACTACTACTACTACTACTACTACTACTACCGACGACACGACGACGACGACGACGACGACGACGACGACGACGACGACGACGACGACGACGACGACGACGACGACGACGACGACGACGACGACGACGACGACGACGACGACGACTACTACTACTACTACTACTACTACTACCTCTTCAGTCGCATCCCTTATTCCGTGACGTCTGTCCGCAGTTCACGTAGCAACTTGCAGACCCTGGCAGCCAGCCGCACTGGCAGTCCTTACTCTGCAGTTTGTTGCTTGTGTGCGCCCCTGGCAGTGCAGCCACCCTGGCTGCCACCGCTATCCTTGCAAGGACGCTGTGTGGGCGTTTTCTGCTCCTGGCCTTGGCATCCACACTTAGTACAGCTTGCAGCTCACGCGAGGCGCCGCTTAGCCCGCTTAGGCAATTTAGGTTGGCGGCTCTAGTTTGCTGTTGTCAATTAGTAGGCCCGCGCCATGGACTTACGACTCGCCGTGTGCGCTTTCGCCCGCGGCCGCGACAAAAAAAAACGTATCCCCACCAGCCTATCCAAAGACACGTCGCCGGGCGAGTTGCCCGAATCAGGGATGTGTAGCAGCATGCGGTCACGCTCTGAGAGCCTATAGGAGGCATCTCGTGGTCCTCGTGGGGCCCTATTGGCGCTCTCTTGGGGCCATTTTGGATGGCGCTCGTGCTTTCTTAGGGCCTCCTGTTTCTTGGGGCCCTGCTGGGTTTCCCGGGGCTCTCTTGGGGCCATCTTATAGGTCATCGATCAAAGAGGGGGTTCCTTACTGTCAGTCCACCCGTCGGTCCCCTCGAAGTCGCATTTTGGAACCTCTTGGGGCGTTCTTGGGGACGTCGTTGGGCCCTTCTTGGGCACATCTGGCGGCTTTCGGGGGCCATGTCGGAGCCATCACTTCGAACGGGGTCAAAGGTTAGTATACGAGCGACGTGCCTGTGTCCGCCGCAGCTTATCTCAAGCGGCGCGCGTTAGATTCTATGACTACCCCGATCTCTTGGAATGATCGCATCCAGGTAACGGGAAAAAAGGAGTCGTCAATATCTTTCGGCGACGCACTCTCTCATCCCATGCCTAATCTTCATCTGGCCGCTCAGACCCACTGTGTGTATAAGTCTTGGGGTACTATTCTACGCTTAAGGTGTAGTATATGGTCTGGCTTACCATATCTGCTTCGTCTTGGAATCGGAGCTGGCTTCATGTTAGTGTGGCCAGCTGTGGTGCCAATGCATGTCTTCCACGGCACAAAAGGATGGAATACTTCTATTATGGTACATACAATTGCGCTGGCCTCCCTTCGGGGATCAGGGCCAGCAAATTCGCCGACACGTGGCATCACAAGGGCCGGCGGCCGTGCCGGCCGACTCGTGTACGCCGCGACCCTAAGCCAGTACGCTCCTACCCACCATCAGCTAACAGGTAACACACTATTGTAACCCGTGTCTTCGAGTGGCAACTTACCACGGCGCGGCCAGGCGCAATATTCCAACATAAACCCTGCCGCGTCAGTCCACAACGACGACGGCCACGACACCACCAACGGTAACATGACCACGCGGTACATTAAGGTCTTTCCATTCGTCATCGTATGGGTGTGTCTTGGTCTTGCCGCAGGGTGCATGCAGCGAGGAATGGGCGACATTCGCACCAGGGGGCCCCCAATGGGACCCTGCTGGCAACGCACCCTTCCGCGAACTCGTTCGCGGAGTACACGCATGGTTCAACGTTGCAAATGCGATTATGATTCCACCACAGCAAGCCGCTGCTTTGCAGCTCGGCCTTGGAGGCCTAGTCAGGACCCTGGCTCTGAGAGTGCCGTCGCGATCACCAACTGCAGCGTGACCCTACAGGGTCGACGCACCGTCGGCGTACATTCATCATGTTTCTCCTTATTTCCAAATTTGAAAGTCCCAGGGACACGCGACAACTGACATCAGGAACGGCCCTCATCGACGTTTGTGTCGACCGAGGTGATCGCATCGATTTGCTGTCAGCCCGATTCGAGATGGCCAGGTTGGAAGTGGATTCGATTGGATTCAACACCCCGAAATTCCAGATTTGACGATCTTGTTGTTTCGATCATTGAGATTCGGCACCTCCCGAGCCTCGCATTTACCACGACACCTCAACCACCATATGCCCCGAACCCAATGACGGAACGACCAATTGTCGGGGCGAATGCGCAGTTGCGGACTCTTCGCTGAGGGTCCCTCTGCATTCTCGGCGGGGTCTTCAATGGTCGAGGACATAGAGCTGGCGCGTTTAATGCGGGCCGACCAAGACCCAGACGTATCCGCAACGCTACTGGGCTGGGGGACTAGCCGCGCGCCAGCAATTGGCCCCGACAGCATCTAGTGGCCCCAGCGACAAATACAGTTCCGGCCAGTAGCTCGCAGACAGCTGCGCCACCCACCCTTCGAGGCTCATCAGGCCAATCAGGCCAATGCCCCGACTCACCCTTCGCTTCCGGGGCCGACGTAGAGACCGCCCCATCCACGGGCGTTGCCGTGATCGGCTGGCAAGGTTCACCTGCTGGCTGCCAGCGACGACCAAGCAGCGCAGTTCCCATGCGTGGGGCATTCAGGCGGGCAGTGCGACGGGCATTCCATCGAAAAAGGATAAGAGGCGCGGCAAGGGTGGCAGGCGCGCTCGTGGGTTGCCTGGCGGGGAGCTGGCAAATTACCAGCAAATCCTTCCGATCGCGACTTTGAGGAATTGTTTCTCGGTGGGGCAGGCCGAGGTCGCTGACGCTCCGCTGCGAAAAGGCGAGCGGTGCAAGCTAAACCCGACGGACAAGACCGGTAAGATAATGACGCGCAGCGGCCGCGGCAGGAACAGTCGCGTGCAGGCGCAGTGCGCGAAGGGAAATGGATAGGTAGATGATGCAGCATTTCTTGGCTCAGAGTTCCACGAGGGCACATCGACTTTCCAGAGGTAGACTTCTCACAAACATCTCGCAACGCGTACTTTATGATGTCCGGGTTCGCCGATGCCGCGCTGGCCGCGGCCAGGTGCGCGGACTACCTGCACGAGGTCTTCTCTGGGTTGGAGGGCCCCGCGCCGTTTGAGGGCTGGCTCAGGTTTTCCGCGCGCGGCCGCGCGCGCGTCGACTCCGACAGCGACGTCGAGTTCGAGCTTGGCTACGCGGTCGAGGCCGACGCGGCCCCCGCAACGGAAGGAGAGCCGACGCGAGTCCAGCTCGGGCGCGAGCAGGCCTCCCTTCGGGGATCAGGGCCAGCAAACTCGCCGACGCGTGGCAACACAAGGGCCGACGGCCGCGCCGGCCGACTCGCGTGCGCCGCGACCCTAAGCCACTACGCTCCTACCCACCATCAGCTAACAGGTAATGCGCTATCGTACCCC